ACAAAAAATGGGAAAAAAATAGAAAAAAAATGGGGAAAAAATACAGAAAAAAAGGAAAAAAAAACCAGGGAAAAGTTGGTTGAAAAACAAGGGGGAAATGATTAAAAAAACCAGAAAGCATGGGAAAAAATCTGGGGAAAAATGGGGGGAAAATGGGAAAAAAAGCCTTGGGGAAATAGTGGGGGAAAAGACCTGGAACAACGGGAAAAAACCTGGGGAAAAATCTGAGGAAAATGGGAAAAAAAAATAGTGGAGTAACGGGAAAAAAAGAAGAAAAAATGAGGGGGGAAAAATCTAGGAATAAATGGGGGGGAAATGGGAAAAAAAGACCAGGAAAAATGACAGAAAAAAATTGGAAAAATGGGAAAAAAAACATCAAAAAAGGAAAAAATTCCCGTGGGAATGGGTTACCTGGAACTGGGGACACACCTGGCTCACCTGTGGGTCAGGAAATGGGATCTCTGGTTTTTTGGGGGGGGGAGGGGTCTCACCTGCTGCCCCCCTGACCTTTCCCTGCCCCTCCCCCTCCCCTCACAGGTGCCTGAAGTGGACGGTGTGACCCCTCCCCCAAGATGGCTGCTGTGACCACGCCCACAACATGGCTGCTGTTCCCCCGTCCCAAAATGGCCGCCGTGACCTTGCCTGGTTTGATCCCGCCCTTAAAATGGTTCCCAAGGCTCCATTTCCAATATGGCGGCTGTGGCCACATCCCCAAGATGGCTGCCGTGACCACGCCCACAACATGGCTGCTGTTCCCCCATCCCAAAATGGCCACCGTGACCTTGCCTGGTTTGATCCCACCCTCAAAATGGTTCCCAAGGTTCCATTTCCAACATGGCGGCCGTGGCCACACCCCCAAGATGCCTGCCGTAATTCCACCTCCAAGATGGCTGCCGTGGCCACATCCCCAACATGTTTGCCCTGACCAAGCCCACAAAATGGCTGCCATGGCCAGAGTTTCAACATGGCTGCCGAGGCCCTGTCCCCAAGATGGCGTCCATGGCCACACCCCCAACATGGCAGCCATGGTTCCATCCCCAATATGACTGCCATGGCCACACCTCCAAGATGGCTGCCATGGCTCCACCCCCATCATGGCTGCCATGGCTCCACCCCCAACCCCTCAAGATGGCGGCGGCCACGCCCCTTTTCGAACCAAAATCCGGATTTTTTTTTTGCTACCAAAATTTTTGGGATCGAATTTATTTGGGGATGGGGGGTGGGGGGAGGGGAGAGCTACAGGGGTGGGGGAGGGGCGGAGTGAAGGGGGCGGAGCCTCAGGATTGGGGGAAAATCCGGGAAAAATGGGAAAAACAAAAAAATGGGAAAAACCAGAACCCCGACCCCGCGCGCTGGCCCTTTAAGAGCGGAGCTGCGCCGCCATTGGCTGGCGCTGGGGGGGTCCAAGATGGCCGCCCTGGGCGCTGATTGGACAAACATCTCCTGACGGCTCCGCCCCTTTGTGAGAGCCGAGATCATATTGGCTGCTGGGGGGGACCCAAGCCACGCCTCTTAAAGGGCCAGCACCGCCCTTAAATCCAAGCCCCGCCCACTTTGGGTCAGGCCACGCCCCTTAAAGAGCCAACACCACCCACAAATCCAAGCCCCGCCCA